AAATCCCTTATAGCTTTTATTTTGCCTGGGTCTACTTTCAAACAACCATTCGCTATCAAATATCCGAGATACCGAATTTCGTTCTGACAGAACTTGCTCTTCTTCACGTTGATTTTAAGTCCCGATTCCCGTAAGCATTTCGCCACTTCCTTCAGCAATTCCAAATGGTCTTCTTCAAGTAGACGAAGACGTTCTCTCGTAACCGTTTGTGGTCCGTTGCACAGGCAAAGGGCATTACTTTAAATTGGTACAATGGCTTCCCTGGAACCGCGAATGTCGTCTTTTCCTTAGACGATTCCGTTAATTTGATTTGGAAGAAAGCATCCTTCAAATCAATACCACTTATAACGTATGTATCCTTTAACCCGCTCAACAACCCATTAATGTGGGGCAACGGATACGAGTCCTTTGTGACCGCGTTCACCTTCCTGGAATCTATGCACAACCTGACCTTGCCTGGTTTCGGAACTAGTACCACAGGACTACACCACGGTAAATTCGATTCCTCAATCACTCTCATCTTGAGTAGCCTTTATATTTCACTATAGGCTTCCGCATGTGTCGGTGGTGAAAGGGGAAAGTGCTTATTTTTAATTGGCACTGCATCACCCGTGTCCATATGGTGAGTCACTAAACTGGTTTGACCTAGTCCTAGCTTTTCGAATGATGGAAACTCCTGAACGACTTTTTGCAATGCTATCTTCTGATCTGGCGTGTGCTGATGGAAGTTTGGCACATCTTCTAGTTTGGCACTAGTATATAATTGTATCTCTTTTTAGTTTCCGCCATGGGACCCACGTGATCCAAGTGGTACGTTACAGCGGCTTGTCCTCTTTTTGAATTGGATTAAGCATGCCCTCCTTTTTTCCAGCTTTAGCCTCTACAACCAAACATTCTACACAGCTCTTTACTACGTTCGTTACTTTCGGCGCCAAATTGTAAATAAAGAAGTCTCTCTCGACCAAATCTTGCGTCTTCTTCGCTTCGTAATGCCCTTGTCGGTGAGCTATTTGGATAACCTAAGTTCCTTAGCGGGATCTTTATGGAGAACACCACCTTTTACGTAAAAATCATAATAGCTCTTATGCTCTAAAACCTTTCTTATAGCTGCTAACTTCTCATCTTTCAGCTGTTCCACCTGTACCCTATGTCGCAAGCTATCTGTCATCATTAAACAGTGTATACGGCTCAACGCATCTACATGCCTCATCAGACTTCGTGAACGGTGCTCGATTTCGTCCTGATAGTCTTGAAGATACATCGCCCAACGCGATACTCTGAGAGGTATGCCCTGTTTTTTTGTGGTAAGCGCGAAGGCATTGCAATCGGTTATTATCTTAAACTTAATCCCCATCACATAAACTCTCCATTTCTTCAGTGCTGATATGATTGCCAAAACTTCCAACTCGTAGGAATGATACTTCTGCTATACAGGCGTAGCTTTCCTACTTATATATTCAACGGGAAGCAAACTTCTATCTTGTGAGTCCCTCTGCATCAACACTCCGCCATATCCAAACATGGATGCATCCGTATGAATCTCAGTCTGTAGTGCTGGATCGAAAAGTTGAAGTACTGGTGGATTCGTTAAAACAGTCTTCAGTTATTGAAATGCAGCTATTTGCTCATCGCGCATTCGAAACTCCGCACTCTTCCCCATGAGATCAGTCAATGGTTTAGCTACCAATGAGAAACTAGGGATTAAGCGCCTTAAGTATGACGTAAGCCCTAAGAAACGTTGCAACATCTTTCGATCAGTCGGTACAGGAAAATCATTCACCGCCTGGGTCTTCGCTGGTGATTGTGTTATGGTTGACGCCTCAATAACATAGCCCAAGAATGTGACTCGACTTTTCCAAAATTTACATTTTCCCCATTTTTGTCGCAGTCCATATGACTCTGCTGTCGTAAACACGCTTTTCAAACTGGCTAACCCTTCCTCCGCGCTCTTGGAGGGGATAATCACGTCGTCCATGTAAACTATTATGGTATTGTTCCGGATAAGTTCTCCAAAAATAGCGTTGATGTACCTCGTAAAAACAGCTGGCGAATTGCTGAGACCAAACGGAATATTCAAAAATTCATATTGTCCGTTATGCGTAATGAAATCAGTGTATTTGCGTGATTCCTCCTCCAGCGGTACGTGGGAAACCCCATTGCGAAGTTCTAGTGTTGTAAAGAAAGTAGCTGATTGTAGTCTCTGCAGGATATTATCAATCAATGGCATCGGAAAGTTGTCGCGTATAATCTTTTCGTTTAATTTACGATAGTCGCAACATAGACATTTCGTACCATCTTTCTTAGCCACTAGCACTATCGGTGATGCATACTCGGAGGTGCTGTATAATGTTGTCGGCCAACCACTCTTCCACCTGCTTTTCAACAAACCATTTATCTGCATACGACAGCCGCCACGGTTTTGGTAGACTGGTATCTCATCCGACAAGATAATCTTCATTGCGATTGGTGATGGCCTTTTCTTTACGCTTCTGCAGTTCGTAATCAGATCAATCACGCCTTCCTTCACTTCAGTATGCAGATGGTCGAGTTCAACTGGCAACTCGACACCCTCGTTGCACGCAAAATGTAAGATTTGCCTTAACTCCTTCTCTAATTCCCCAACAGGATTTGCTTCTCCGCCTACTACGCTTTTCTCTCTAGCTACCTGAAGCTTCTCTGATTTCTGCCCGGCATTCCTTTTTTCTTTCGGAATTTAACGCCGTCACCATCAATGACAACATCCACTTGCCTGAGTACATCCTTGCCCAGAATCGCATCATACAAAATATCACTCTCTCTGGCAACATGAAACTCAATATCAACTTCGACTTCGTCTAAAGTTATACGTGCGGTGAAACATCCAATGATCTTGATCATTTGGTTGCCGATACCATACAACGTCTTTATCTTTGGTTGCAAATGAACGTAGCCGATGTTAATCAGGGTGTCGTATCTGATAGCGCAAATATCACTACCCGTATCTAACAAGGCTGAGAACGTGTACCCGTTGATTTCACTGTCTCGAAATAGACACGCTTCCCTTGATGCCGAGTTTGGTTTTGGTTGATCTTGACTATCGATAACCACATGTACACCTTTGCTATCATTCTTCTCTTCCGCTCGCGATATCGGATGTTTACACTCGTTTGCCTTGTGGCCGACTTGGCTACATATAAAGCACCGAATTGCCGATTGGGAACACTGCCTGGCCAGATGCCCTACTTTCCCGCAACGAAAACATGCCCTGCTGCTACCGCTGCTATGTGCTTAATTTTTAACAACGCTTTTGTCTCTAGTTGACTGAGGAATCACTGGTATGTTCCCCATTCCACGGCACTTCTCGTATACGCGCAAGTTTCCTTTGAGCTCCTCTATGGATAACGCCTGATATAGAATCTGCGAATCGATAATACCTTCAAAAAAAAATACTCGATGATGCTCTCATCATCCATATCAATTGGTCTAGCAATCTCCATCAGTGAGTACAGGAAACTTTCGCGGAAACTTTCATTTACCCGCTTACGCCTATTCTTCATAATACGATGTATCTCGTTAGCACCAAGCTTAACTCCAAATTCTGTTCTGAGGATGGTCTTTAACGAGCTCCAATCCTTAACCGCCTACTGACTCCTCACAAATATCTTGGCCGCATCCCTAATCAACTGCTTTCCGTAAATAAATTTCTGCAAGTTACTCCAATTAACCACAGCTGCGTTGTCTTCAAACTCCTGCAACCACTGATCAACGTCAGGTTGCCCGCACCCCGAAAATTATGACAACGTATCTTCGGTATCGCGAAGAGTGAAATAGCTGTGACCCGGCAATTGTACATTTTGGTAATATTCATCCGAGTCTAAACTCTCAGTATCGGTATCGACTCAGGAATGGCCGAAGTGTCTCAAAAGAGCGTCCTGCAGTTCACGTTTTCGTCCCCTGGTCGATAACGCTAAAGTGGGAAGTTTTTGATGTAATGTGGAACGATTTTCCGTCATCCCTTGTCAAATTTGGTTTGGAGACAAATCGGTTTCGGCGTTGTGCCATCTTCAGTGTCATTTTCGTTCTGAATAGTTTCTGTTTGTCTGTCACTATTTATAGCCGTGTTAAATCCTCGTTGGTTCATAGTAAGGTACGTCTCAGCGGATTATATTCTTTCAACCAGTAGTTTCAGTTCTGTGTGTACATCCTCAGGTAGAAATTAGCTGCTCACCTCTTTTTTAATTAATTGTTGCATGGATTCGCAGGTAGGTAAAAATCAGTTATTTTCTCTCTCTTTGTTTCTGTAGTTTGAACCCGCATTTCATTGTTTATGGTAGTTGCAGGGTTTCTGTTTTGTTTTGCGTATAGTAGCCTGAGTGGTTCGAATAATATATCAGATGCGGTGTTTATTTGCTCATTTATTATTTTTCCGACGAACGTATTTTGTTTGTATATCTCCATATTCTCTAATACGTTTAGGCGTTGTCCTTTGTGCTGTACATGGAGAACTTTGGCTGTCTTTCCTATTTTCATTGGCGTACAATGGTTTTCTGCCATATGGTCTGCGAAGTTCGATTCCGGGGTGGTAGAAGGTTTTAGCATTTTTTTGTTGTAGTCCCTTATATGTTCACGATATCTTGTTTTTATCTTGCGCCCTGTTTGTCCTATGTAACTATGTTGACATTCGCAAGTCAACTTATATACACCTTGCTTGTCTAGTGGGTATTCCTCGTTTGCGCTATTTCGTAGTATCCTCCCCACATTGTCCTTCGTTCTAAATGCTGTATTAATGTTATACTTTTGGAATACCTTAGCCAATTTATATGAAGTTTTGCCGGTATAAGTCAAGCCTGCCCAAGCCTTTTCATTATTTTCCTTCTTATTTGATTTCTTCGTTTTTGTTTCTCTTCTTATCTTGTTTACTAGGCCCTTTCTGTATCCGTTATTTTCCGCGATTGCGTATATCGTACTAAGTTGTTTGCTGTAAGCTTCTTTTTCCAATGGGGTTCGTTCAAGCCTGGTTATTAGATGTCTAAAGGCTTGTGCTGTTGAGGGTGGTTTGAAGTATTGTGTATTATCGTGTCTGTGGCCGTGGGCTTTCTATATATCCCGAATTCGCATTTGTTGGTAACCTTATTTATTTTAATTGTTATGTCCAAATAGTTTATTTTACCTTCGTTTTCCTTATCCATAGTGAAATTTATATTCGTGTGTTGGTCGTTGAGATAGCCTTGAATTTGTTCTTCCTTGTCTCCCGTTACAAGACATATGATGTCATCGACGTATCTTGCGTAGAACTTTACTCCCCGGCTTGTTGTCAGCTCCGTCATATACTTTTCATCTAAATGTTGCATGAATACTTCAATTAAAATTGCAGATGTGGGATTACCCATACCTAGCCCGTTAGTTTGTCTATATATTTTGTTATTAAACTTGAAGTAGTTTTGGTCTAGTGTTACCCTCAGTGTGTTCACGATTTCCGTTGCTACGTTCTTGTCTGTTTTTTCTATCAAAGTTTTAGTCAAGATGGTAACTGTTTCTGCCGTTGGTATCGATGGGTAAAGATCCTTAACATCAAATGATACAAATTTCGCATCTTTGGGTATTTCTAGCGATTTCATCCTTTCAATTAACTCCGCTCTATTCGTAATTGTGTATTTATTGGGCAGTTCCAGTTTTTCTTTCAGAAACGATTTTAGATATTTCGATAGTTTGTATCCTGGTGATAATTGGTCTCATCGGATTTCCTGGCTTGTGTATTTTTGGGAGTGCGTTCATTGAGGGAGCCGAAGGATTCATTAATGTCATTGTATATGCTTTCCTTGGATTTACTATTGTTTTTGCTTGTTTTATTGCGTGCTTTACTGCCACTTGGTAGTCATCGGTTGGGTCCTTTCTCATCATCCGACAATTTGTCTCTTTGATTAGTTGCTCTGTCTTTTCTTTATATTCTTTTTCGTACATTATTACCGTTGTGTTCCCCTTGTCTGCTTTTGTTGTGATTACTTTATTCGTTTTGAGTTTTCTCTTTAGCCCTTTGACAGTTTTATTTTCGTCGGTTAGTTTTTTCTTATACATAAATTTTATGCTTTTTTCAATTATACGTCTACATATGTGTCTTGCATGATCTCGGTTGGTAGTAATGATATGGCCATTTCCGCGTCTACAATAGTGTGCTCTACCTCTTTATTTTTATCATAATTTTCTATGTTGTGTTTCAGACCTTTTTCCAATATCTCTGTCTCTTGTTTGCTAATGGGAACCTTGGTCAAATTTACGAATCTGGAATGGAAAGGCATTTCGTTGTGTTGTATGGTCTTTGTGATGTTTTGCTTTCTATTGAGGTCATCGAGTTTTTTGTTTAATTTATTGTATTTTTGTCCCATAGATTTACTGATATTCTCCTTTAATTGATCTAATATCTCCAGGAGCGTGCTGACACCTAACTATGAACCAACGAGGATTTAACACGGCTATAAATAGTGACAGACAAACAGAAACTAATCAGAACGAAAAATGACACTGAAGATGACACAACGCCGAAACCGGTTTGTCTCCAAACCAAATTTGACAAGGGATGACGGAAAATGGTTCCAAATTACATCACAGTCCTACCCTGTCGGAAACACCAACAACGAAAATGGCAAGTCAACGCTAAAATTTCATCTACGTCCATGTCGATGCCGATTACAATATCAAATGTACAAAAGATATAACGTAAATGCAAGAGTATGCAATTCGACTTTCGAAATTTAATTTTGTTGTTATTTAAGAAATGAAATATTTATAAGCGTTCAACGCCAACTGCTTAAATTTCAAAGCTAAACGGTAGCAATTATGTACTTGTAAATGTAGCAAATCATATTGCAGCAATTGTGTACTTCTAAAACAAATTATCGCTTAAACTAGGACTGCTTGTCACTTCTGGCTGCATTGAATTATCTCGGCTTCGATTAGCAATTTCAGTTAAAGTTAAAGACACTTGAAATTTTAGCTTTAGATTATCTTATTGGCACAGCAACGCAACAATTTTAGTTGCAATTTAAAATAACTTTAAACTTTAGCTCGAACTTTAAACTTTACTGGACATTTTATTTCACCCACGGAACTGCAATCTTGCCAGAAATGCAACCAGTGTAAATATTTCAAAAACTACTTTTCTGCCAATAAATTCGAACAGATGCTCTCAAACTATCTCTGCAACTTCACACTACCACCAGCTGCTGCTTGATCGAACTTCGGAACTTCGAATTCGTTGCCACTCGAATACGCCCAACTTCAACTTTGACTCGACTGCTCGACTCTGCCGTTTGCCGCTGTAATACACTGTCGAACTCCTTTTCGACACATACACAACTTCTTCCTATTGTAGTTCGATGAATTCACTGCAACATGTTTGAAGGTGTTCTTTTGGCTGTATGACGCCCGTGTTGATTCGCGCTGCTTCTATTGCTGTTGATAGCCTTCGCTGTTGTCACCTACGCACTCCTTTTGCACTCAACCAATTTCACTGTATTTTAGACTGCTTTTACACAGTTCAAGTATTGAATTCAATTCTGCTCGCATGTGGAAGAGAGGGGGAGAGAAGAAAAGGGACGAGTACACATGCGTCTGTACCGTCAAGTCGTTTCAACTTTCTTGCTTTGCTTTTGGCATTTTCGTTGCTTCCCATTTAAAGAACCAAAAACTTGAATTCAACAGAATTGAAACGTGTAAAAGCAAATAGAAAACACAAAAGAGAATGAGCAAGAATTGCTTTCAAGTACTTGAATCATGTAAATCGGGTGTTACGGTGCTTTGCTACTTCGCCCAAACTACAGCGCACGATGCATTTTACCGACTACGCTCTGCTGCTATATACGATTGCGCTCTGCTACTAGGCACGCTGCTATGTACGACTGCGCTCTGCCACTGCGTGCGATGTTTTTACGACGCTCTGCTACTGCGTACGCTGTTCTTTACGACGCGCTCTGCTACTTCGCACCTCCGTTATTTGCTGGTCTAACCGCCTACAAGTTCCGTTAGTTTCGCTGACCCGGCTCTGCTCTAGGTGCTTACCATGGTGAAATGAACTGAAGGTGGCGCATTCCCGAAACCGCTACTTTGGTTTTGCCGACTTTGACATTTATGGCAATACGTAAACAAACTTTTTGTTTATAAAAAACAAGTGCAAACGTATTGCAAACGTATTGTGTGCTTTCAAGTGAAAAATCGAAGTAATTCGTGCGTTCTGAAGTAAAAAACGTTTTATTTGTAATAAAAACTTTATAAAAATGTCGTGTCATGTGTTGAATTGCATCTGCCGTAGGGGTAAAGCACCCAAATGCATTTTTTTTTGTTTCCCCGAGACGACGCCTTGGCCAGAAAGTGGGTAGAGTTCTGCCGGCAGGAGAAGCCATACAATTTAGACACCAGCGTAATATGCATGAAGCACTTTACGGACCACTTTTAAACACGACATGTTAAGTTGAAAACGTTGAAATTACAAATTAAAATCGGAGGTAAGCAAGCATCGACCACTTTCTGCAGGAAAACATGCGCTGCGACAAGATATTATCACTTTTTCGGCACCTGCAATACAAACACAAAAATTCTAAATAGTTAATTAATTAGACCTATTCTTTGGACACATTTCAAGAGTGGTTGTATATTTTTTGTTAACGTAGTGCTTAATTTGCTATATTCAAAGATGGCTTGAGAAATTGGTGAATCGAGAAGAAAACACGTTTTCTCACTGCAAATTCACAACTGTCAACTCATTATTCTTCGCCATATTCTTTGTTTACACGTTGCCACAAATGTCATTCTGCGGGAATGCGCAATCTTGTATTCTATCGTTCTTGGGTGCTTACCGTATTCTGCACACTAATTAATTTATAACAAGTTATCGCTTTTGCATAAAATAAAACCGGCGCTACTATGCTGCTCGCTGGCTGTTGTATTGCGCTTGAGTGAAAATACTCGTGTTCTGCTACCAAATCAACTCAATTTCGTATGCAAACAGTTGACGCTTTTTGCACATAAATATACGGAACTCTATGCTGAGTTGCTGTGCGGCATAGAAATATAGAAAGAACCGACCACCGAAGTATTTCTTTTACTTTCTTTCGCAAATGTGCGACGATCCCGGACGAGCCCCCAAACTGTGGGTTTCTACTTTTCCTTCGCGCGGAATGAAACTAAGTATTTATTAAGGTTTAAAATTGCAGTAAATATAATTTATTGTATAGAAGTTAAACAATGGCGTCTGATCAGTTCCGTGTGTTGCGTTCGAGTCACTCGTTCGCTTGTCTAGGGTACGGTTTTTGGCTCTCTTCGTTCAATCAGAGATGCCGTTTTGTAGCAAAGTTCGAATGCGCAGGGATGTATTGTATTTCAGTCGAAGTTATAATTTAGAAGTTACATCCACTTCTTGTAGTCCGTCGTCCGTCAGTCAATCCCACATGTATTTTTCAAAAATAAATGGGAATGCTGACCCCCCCTTGACATTAGGAAGGCACAAATCTACGTGAAAAGTTAAGGTACGATACAACAAAGGAAGGTATGTAAGCATTATTTGGCCCAGCCCACCCAACCGTAATGAAAATCCAGATTAGTGCAATGCCCCTCAGGAATTGAACGGTGAACTGGGCAGTAGTATAGTTATGGCGGTTCCAGAACCGCCATAAGGTTTGCTGTTGCTCCGGTGCAGAACCGCTATATGGTTTGCTGATGCCCCGCCGCAAGCTTTGCTGCTCCGCCAAAAGATGTCGCCGATCGTAATCCAAGTTCAGAACCCAGATAAAAGCCGCAAGATGTCGCTGGTGACAAATCTGAGTCCGGAACCGGAACCGATCACAGGGTGTTCCGCTGATGGAAATCCGAGAAATCCGATACCATTCAGAACCGGAATCGATCACAGGGTGTACCGCTGATGGAAATCTGAGAAATCCGATACCATTCAGAACCGGAATCGATCACAGGGTGTACCGCTGATGGAAAAAGTGTGTTGGTATGCAGTCAGAAATATATACAAACGTACATACGTACATATGTATATACATATATAGATGCTCCACCCCTAGAAAAGTGTGTTAATAATGTGCACATATGTAGTTGATGTCGGCCGCTGTGGTGTAGTGGTAAGCAGTGCGCGCTTCCACTCCACAATGCCTGGGTTCAAACCCTGGTCAAAGCAACATCACAAAAATATAGAAAAAAGGTTTTTTCTTAACAGCGGTCGTCCCTCGGCAGGCAATGGCAAACCTCCGAGTGTATTTCTGCCATGAAAAACAGCTTCTCATAAAAATACAATCGCCGTTCGGAGTCGGCGTAAAACTGTAGGTCC